TATTATTTGAAATTGTTATATCTAGCGGTCAGGCGAGTATTAGGGGGATTGATAAAAAAATAATCTTATAATATACTTTATCCTTATCGTACAAAACTAGTTGCAACTGATTGTGAGATTATTATCAGAGAAAATCCGCTATCTTTCTTAACGCTTATCTTGGAATTAGCGTGTGTCATTAGAATGAGAAGTTACAAGGAAAGCAGCCAATTCCGTCACGGGGGTTTGCGTGACGCAGCGTATCAGCTCGCGTAAATGCACTTCCGGAGGCAGTGGCTTCTCGAAGCGTTCGGCACGCGGATACTATGAATATCACTTTTCCCGTGACAATGACAAGGCTTCAGCACGCGTTTTATTCGCACCGGAGGTGCATCGGCGACGAGAAAATTGAAATTTCACATAGCGAAATGCTTTTCCGCGCGCACCAGCTGGCCGAAGCGCCGACTAAGAGCTTTCGCTGCGAAATGTCTTCCGCTCGTTAACGAGCTAAACGAGAAGAAACGCGCGCGCGCGAAAAAGGGCTGAGCCTTCCGGTAGCAAAGAGTAGTTAAGTCCGATGCTCTCTGAAGCTCTCTCTTTCTCTTTCTCGGGTGAAATACCAGTTGAGAACGCAGTAATATCGAACCGGCCAAATGGCGGACTGCTAATCCGACTGTAATAATAGCGAAAACTCGTCGCTACCTTCGCCGAGAATGTATCGCGGTGCCATCGCGGACGTATAACGTCCGACATTAACGTCCGTCTCTATCAAAAAGGCTTTAGTTTCGTCCGCCATGCGGATATTTTTAATATGATACGTTCGCTCATCCGTCCGGCAGCCGAGAGATTTTTTGCAATTAGCAGATATATCTTCCCGTGTGAGCGTTTGAAGTCGCCGCGCCAACTTTCACCGACTGGACTTACGAAAATCCGAGCGAGTGCTTTTTTACCGTTGGCGGTTAAAGCCAATTCTGTCAAATGGACTTTTTGCCAAGACCAATCGGGTTAATTGTAACGGCGGGCTATTAATATATCACCGCGAGCATTTTCTGGTGGAATAATTAAGCCGCGAGATCCATCCTATAAGACTGTAGGAAAAACAGTTATCTTCTTACATAGTGAGAGAATTTAGTACGAACAATATTATTCGCTTGCATATTTTTAATCTTTCGAAAAACATTTCTCTATAAATTGTATATTTTTGTATACACAAGTATTTTTTTTTCTCTATTTAACGATGTGCCATACGATGGAGGAGCGGTTACGAGTATCAAGCTAAACCATCTTCCCGAGCAATAAAATTATCTTTCGCAAGCGTAGCGGGTCGCTTGATGGTAGCTGTCGACTTGTCAGCATCGTCTAGCGATCGTTGCCGACGTTGCGATTTTGCGACAAGGGAAGAGAAGGATAGCCACGATGGTCGGAGGTCGGGAAAACTTTGGAGAGCGAGCGATGTTTTAAGATCTTCATAAGCCTCGGCGACCGCTGCATTTGCATGGCAAAGACTAATTTCGCGAGGAAGAGCTCGTTTGAAATTGAAATGCACAGTGGCTTCTCGAAGCGTTCGGCACGCGGATACTATGAATATCACTTTTCCCGTGACAATGACAAGGCTTCAGCACGCGTTTTATTCGCATAGTAGTAACTCACGTCTAGCAAAAGTGCCGACGAAAGCAACAACTCCGCGTAACGCGATGAAGGAGAGAGATCGATTGTGTCGACAGTTTGCGCTTTCGAAGCAGATGCAATTCTTTTATTCACGTTTGCCGTGGATAAACTCGATATGTTCCGCGTAACAAGTTTGACTGCGCCGATATTTTCAATATTTGTCGCTAGAAATTCTCATACCATTATTCTTCTTATAATTCGAATGCTCAAGTTATAGAAATTCGTATTTAAAATCGATTTTTCTCTTCCTTCTTCCTTTTTTTCTCGATTTATTATTTTACTGAGCGCTATTTCGCATATAATGAAAAATTAATTATAAGTGTTAAATTAATAAAATAATAAATTAAAATTCCTGAAATACTAACGCCAATAAATAACCGCTTTTATAATTTGTAATTATCTAATTATTAAACACTGTAATTTAATATTTCCATATTTATAAAGCATAAATTTTTTTAATTTAACAATATTCATATTTGTCAATTATATAAATAAAAATTATAATTCTTAAATACATATAATATATATATATATATATACATATATGCGTGTTTTTATATATTTAATTGATACATAACGATTATACGAGATATATTGTGTCTATTTGCGCGCGCGAGCTTAAAAAAAATTTCCATAATTCAAATTTGACAATGTGCATTTCGCAGAGATGAAACAATTATACGGAAATATAAAATTTTGAATGAAAACAAATTATAATCGCTTATCTTTTTTTATCATTATTTCTACATGAAGATTAATTTACAAATGCAATTTGTATAATTAGATAATTTAAAATATCCACAACGCGTACATACTTTCAAAAATTAATTATCCGAATTCGCTGATAATTAGAGACGATGACTAGCGATGCTGTTCGCACAAACTTCCGGAATACCTGCATTCATCAGCGTGACAAGCAAGCAAGCAAGCGCGATCGTCGCGCGAGTCATTCTTTTAGAATAATATATTACAAATATAGATTCAGTAGAGTTAATTAATTGGTAAGTGGGGCAAAAATGGTGGATGAAGAATCTCCATCCTAATTACGATAGTGCGGTGATTCAAGCACTGATAATGCAATATGGAGATAATGTAAATGACCGTATTAGTAAATGGTAATGAATAAAGTTCATTACATGATGTTCGCCTCCGATATGGCGCGGCGGCGTATTATTTTGCGTAACCAACGCGCGTCGGGCGATTTTACAGAATTTTACGCAATTACAAGAAATAAACCCGCACGTATTGTGTGCCGCGCGTTCTCCAAAATACATCCTGTTACGCTGCAGTAGATGCAGTTTAACGATATTTTAATTAATGCCTGTTGTAATTAAATTAAATAATTAAATCGGTACGCGACCGGAAGCCGAATGTGTACACGGGGCGCGCGAGACGCCAACGTAAAATTTCCGAACATTAAAACCGTACATCGGACAGATAACGGTCCGTGCTAGTTAATTACGTGTGGCAATGATGCGTATTCCGGTTTCATTAAATGCGCTATCGTATTTAATCCGTATGTTTTTTGCCCGCGTACAATTTCCATCTTGCCGCGGCTCACTTCGTTTTATCATGTTAATTTGCGCATTACGGGATGCTGGCAGAGAGCGGATGAGAATTTTCATCGCAACTTTGGCCGGCGAAACGCGCTTTGCAATGTTCTTCGCAAACATCGTACGCTGACGCACACGACGCAACTTTCTAAATTTTTACGCCAGATGAGTCGCCGATGCAAAATGCATCGCAAACTTCGGGTCCCCGGAACGGCCGTTCTCGCGCTGAACTTTACACGTTTTGTTCGACGCAATTTGCGCGTTCTCTTTCCATAATATTAACTTTTTTTATATTGGAGTCCTTAAACATGCTTTCACATTTTTTTCTATTAACAGCTAATGACAATAAAACTTGCAACGTTTAGAGAATGGATGCAGAATCGCGAGAGTCTGTATCTCCGTAATGATGCATGTTACCTGTATGCTGAGGATGTTGCAGATATATAATATTGATATCGTATGATTTCTCTGATTACAGCGACAGCGGCATGGCCGCGGCAGGAGCAACCCTGTCCGATAGCAGGAGATTTTTGCATGAACGGTGGTACCTGCCTATTTTTCGAGACCGTCGGTGAACCGGCATGCCGGTAAGTCATTATTTTATGAATTATAGTTTTTCACATAATCCATTTTAGTGCATTAATTATATGTACCAAAACTTTCCTTTTATTTTAGTTAAACCATTTTTAAAAAAATCTTTGTTTATTGTGTAAAAGGATTGTTAGATATTGCATCAAAAATAATATATGAATGTTTGATCGTGCATCGTCCTTTATCACTAGTTTTTTATACAGGATATGAAAAATATAAATAAAAGTTCTTAAAAATAATCAAAAAAACCAAAATATGTCTATTAAAAATAAAAACGATGTGCCATTCGCCATTTTTAAAAATCTATTACGCGAATAAAATTGATTTCCTTTTAAAATAAATATATAACGAATCTGCCGTTGTTTTAAAAGAGAAAATTGCAAATCACGGAAATCGTCTCGATACAAAAGAGAACACAAATCGAATTAAATTTATTTTTTAAACGAAAATAGAAAATGGAAGTGAAAAAAAGTGTACGTTGCAATCTTTTACGCTCACAGATATGAATGATACAAATGGCGAGATAAATCCTTTTACAGTATTAAAATTGAGCAATATATTAAATTCTTTAAAAATATATATGCAAAATCCATCAAATGTAGAATGAAATATATTTACATATTTGTCATGTACCGCATTTTGTAAATTTACTACGAATTTATCTCACTGGATTTAACCTGTTTTAGATGATTACTTTTCAATTGAATGTTCACAAAATCAAATGAACAATAATCATGTTGTGACCAATAATAGTAATAATAAAATAATAACAATAATAATATTTTATTCGACTTTATCTGCCATTTATTCGCGTCAGAAATAGTATCTATTGATCTTAAATTATGTATATCCTATACATTTCTTAATTTAAAACGATCTTCTCTTTTCTTTTCGAAAAGCAGTGAAATCCGACTTTATCTAGAAATCGGAAAACCGTAGATTCTCGTAATTACCGAGAAGTCGGGAAGATTACGGTGCCAATTTGTAAAAAGCGTAGGTAACGTTGCTCGATGCTGAGAGAGAGGTATATAAAGATAGTTATATAGGATGTCTCAGGATAACTCGATTAAATCCCAGTGATAATTCTCTACCGATTGATAAAGTTGATTTTTACTCAATGAAATTATCAATGCGCTCCTAAAGTTTGTGTATGAAAAGATACTGATTAAAAAATAAAAAAAAATATTTTTCACGAAAATCCAGCTTTAAGAAGAAGAATAGATAATGAAACCATTTTTCAATTAATCTTATTTTACTTAAGGCATTTCTAATTTTATATTCATTTAGAAAGACATTTAATATGGAAATTTGTGACGATATGAATAATGACATTCTCTTTTTTGTGGGATAAAATCGCGACTTCAATTTTAGCCAGATATCCGCCAGTAAATTATGACATCTTTATTTGGAAACACTTTCTAAAGAGAAAGAGAGAAAGAAAGAAAGAACGACGAGAAAGCGTTTTACTCACATCGACGTCTTTATTCGAAGACGCACGAGAAATCGAGCTTGCGTTTCTCTCTTTTGTGCGGCCATCGAGTTAGCGGCTAGCTACGGCAACCGCGAAGTTGGGCGAGGTTTCAGGATATGTTTGCTGTCGATTGTGCTCGGAAGGTCGAAGTTCGATGGGAAGCGCGGAGTCTAGGTCGAGTCTCACTCTCTATCTTTTCTCGGTACACAACGGAGAGCGATCTTCTCGTTTCTCTTCTGGACACCTCTCCTCTATTCCTTTTTGCCGCCATTCTCCTACGCACGATACTTTTCTCTCAAGAATATAGATACTTTCTATAGATTCCTCTTTCCATTCTTGCGCCCAGTCTGCCTTCCAGTATCTCTCTCGGCTATCGTCTACGCTTTCCTTTTTTTTTCTCTCTTTCTCTCTCTATTTGTTTCTCCGTCTCGATAAAAATATCCCCTTTCGCATTTTCTTAAAATCTCTTGCAATTTATCGACTTTCCGTTATTTCTGTTTAATCCACGTTTTTCTTATAATCCGCGCTTCTATTACTTATACCTAATTAGTGTCTTCGATTTTTACCTCTTTTATATAGGTCGCTTTCTCGTTAGTTTTTTGCGCTTTTATTATTGTAAAGTTTATATAACTGATATTTTTCTCTTCTTTTATTAGAAAAAAATAGTTAATCTTTCGGAATTGTGTACCTCTGTGATTACACATTGCTATTTTTTATAAACGCAATTACGTAAAGTGCACGAAGCGCAGTGAACGTTCGAGGTACGCAATTTACCCTTTAAAGATTGGACTATTGACTTTTCTGCAATTGTCGACCTCAATATTACGGTTGACCCAACGTGCGCAAAACGTTCAGTTCGTCCGAGTTCCAGATGAATTTTCCGAAACGGTCCGAACCTTACTTCCACCTGCTTTTTTCGTTCATTGGGCGGTGCTTTCGAAAATTAAATTTCTTGACTATTCCCGCCCTCTCTCCTTTCTCTCTCTTTTTTTTTTTTCGCAGCGTGTATCAAATTGATCGGCACCGCCCCGCGTATAGCCGAGTATCCATTTAATTAAAAAAGTTTGCTCGCCAAACCAACCCCCGACCGGACTTTCCAGCCGGTCGCAATACTCTCCGTTCATTGGGCGGTGCTTTCGAAAATTAAATTTCTTGACTATTCCCGCCCTCTCTCCTTTCTCTCTCTTTTTTTTTTTTTCGCAGCGTGTATCAAATTGATCGGCACCGCCCCGCGTATAGCCGAGTATCCATTTAATTAAAAAAGTTTGCTCGCCAAATGTTCCCCCGACCGGACTTTCCAGCCGGTCGCAATACTCTCATTTACGCAACGCGCACACGAGTGTCGATTTGTCAGAAATTTCAGCTGCGCGACACCGATGATGCATTCGGCAAACTCGTCGAGTTTTTCACGGCATTAATTGGGTCAGTTAAAAACAAACGAGATGTGTATTATAATTCTTCTTCGTAATTCCGTTCAAACCGTGTTGCTGGAAAATTCTGCAGTTGTGTTTCCAAATGCAGAAATCTTGCAAAACGCGAAATAAGATGTAAAATATAATTTATCGGCTTTGCAAAAAAGCAACGAAAATTATCTTGTACTTGAAAAAAAGAACAGAATATAAATAAACGGTAAAAAGAAAAAATAACCTGAATTAATCTGAGCTGTCTTTCTTTGACATCCTGTCGGTAATTTTCAACATTCAACATCTTTAAAGCCTTAAATAAAAATCTCTGTAAAAATAAAATCCATTTGAAATTATATGAAGAATAAAAAGAAAACTTGGCCATCTATTTTCAATTCTGAAACCAATGATTGAAGTTTGAAGTCCATGCTTATATTCGGATTCCTTTCTTTATTTTTGAATATACTTCGAGCCTTACGTTTTTTTCAATATATCGGTAGAATTCTGAAGGAGGTTGAATCTCCCATTCCGATAGATAAGAGAAGAAGTGGATGACGCGGTCTCATCGCGATGTGCCTAAAATGTCAAGCCGGTACCGCAGCATCCAGTTTATCGTGGCTGTGTTTTATCGCGCAACACCGTCAATCCTCTCGGCTACTTCCGGCGAATCGCACAGGGAGAGAAAGAGAAGCAAATGTAAACTTTTTCGCGCCGAGCCTGCGACGCTCGTAAATCTCATCTCCGGAGGTAACCTACATCCCCCTCGTCCCTCCCCGACACTACCATCGCCCACCACTTGTGTTGAACGTCCCGGTTCCTCGTTTGTTTCTGTTAGGTGATCCCCTTCTTTCCCCCTCGACTTGTTAACTTTACGTTCTTACCACTTATGGCCAAATTGCCGTATAAAATATGTGCCGTGACGACAAGGCAACCTCTCTGCATACCACGGTTCTGTGCGCGACGAACGGCTGCCACGATAGTTACTCCTGGTTGTATACCTCCTTTTTCTCGGCA